AAACTACAAAAGTAGGTAATTAGAATAAGTTTTCGTGGGGTTTCGGAAATTAATTTATACTATGTTTCATGGGTTAAGCACTTGTACATGTTGAAATACTACATCTACCATGGCTATGACGTTAGCGTTACTACATCTACCATGGCTATTACGTTAGCGTTACTAAATCTACCATGGCTATAACGTTAGCGTTACTACATCTACCATGGCTATGACGTTAGCGTTACTAAATCTACCATGGCTATAACGTTAGCGTTACTACATCTACCATGGCTATGACGTTAGCGTTACTACATCTACCATGGCTATACGTTAGCGTTACTAAATCTACCATGGCTATGACGTTAGCGTTACTACATCTACCATGGCTATGACGTTAGCGTTACTACATCTACCATGGCTATGATGTTAGCGTTCTGAAGCTATTCGTGCAAGATTTGAACACAAGTCTAACACTATACACTGAAGGCTTAAAAAGCTGATATATTTACTTTTACACCATCGATTTACAACTTTAACCCTTGTATTTACTTTTTTTTCAACGATTAACAATCCTCAACCTTTGTAATTAATTTTTCACCAATGATTAACTTCTTTTAATCCTTGTATTTACTTTTTCATCAACAATTAACCGTCTTTAACCACCTAAATCCCTATATTTTATATTCATACCGATAAGAATCCACCAGTTACTACCGTAAATATTCGGAAGATTACTGAAGTTCGTATTTCAAATAATCCATACACCAACAGTAATGATTTATTTCTAAAGTAGAAGAATACCAAACAGCGTACTGGCTACCATCTTGAACAAAATATCTACGAACAAAATATACAAAAAGGAGCATATCTAATACACCATCATTCATTGGATATCTGAGAAGTCATGGCCATCTTAGGTGTTTCCCAGAGATCCTCACTGTTTATTAAAACGTAAGGAAGCACAATGCTGTGCTGTGCCGCAGTAGGGAATGAGTCCCAACTTATAGCGTTTTAAGCCCTCAAGGTTATCGCTGAACCGCATTGAGTGTAAATGCGTTCTTCTGGTCTGGGTTGGTATTTAGGCCTTTGTCGACCTGGGAGAGTCAAGTTCAATCTATACCTCTTCCTCCCTAACAAATAAACAAACCTTCCGAATGTGACGTATTAGGTTTGTTTATTTGTTTTTGAATGTCGCACAAAGCTACACGAAGACTATCTGCGCTAGTCGTCCCTAATTTAGCAGTGGGAAGGCAGCTAATTCTCATCACCCTATGCCAACTCTTAGGCTACTCTTTTACCAACAAATAGTGGGATCGAACGTCACATTATAACGCCCCATTGCTGTTTGGTAGGACGGGCATTCGAACCCGCGACCCGCAGATTTTGAGTCGAGCGCCTTAACCACCTGGCCATGCCGGGCCAACGTATTAGGTTTCTTGTAAGAAACCAGAATGCTAATTACACTGTAACCCAATCAGAAACTGATTTGTTGCTAACAATCTTATGCAGTTCAAACAACTGTTATGCATACCTGGTTCTGCTGTCGCCCCTGGTTCGTTTCGCGGGGCAACCAACGAGTCCAAGGACCCTCATGACGATGTGGTCATGTTTATATTGATTGGTAAGTAAATTAAAAATGTACAATTAATACACTTCAAGATGGCGCCATTCGTTTGATCAAAATACTATTTTTACGTTTCTCACCACAGCTTAAATTCTGTTTACTTTGGAATACAATGTAGGTCCTCCCCGCAGTAATCCACTAAAGAAAAAAAAAGGACTTCAATGCAATAAGTGGTTGTTTTCTCACACAAAGACTTTAATCCAGTTGAAAACGGCGATGATCAAAGGCACGACTCAAGTTCAGTGAATTCAAAGAAAACGAAGACTTCCGGAACGACAAAACGTTTACAGTGATGGATCATCGAACACTTCAAGTGCTACCCGGTGGGAAGAGAGCACACCAACTTGCATCGTGACACGAATAATAATTAAATTCCTAACTTCTGAGCGCCAGTTGGATTTGTTGGGTATTCACATTAGTTAAGATCGGGGTGTTTTGTAATATTAGAGTCCACGATGTCTTTTAAGTACGAGTTTCAAGATTGTCGGTATTGATTAAAGAAGTGGCTGTAAATATAACATAACACTCTTGTCAATCAATTATCCAATCAATCACAAAACACAATAGAAAAGCAATGAATAGTGAGTTCAGAGTTGAAGTAATCCATCACGGAGGGATCAGAAACGGCCTAAACCATTTCTGAAGCCCAAACGTACAGAGCGGCGTGGGCGGCCATTCAATTCTGTCAAAAACTCAGCATGACTATGTTGCGAAAGGGCGTGTACGTTTTGTTAAAATATTTTGTTTCGGATGTTCGCACAAAGCAACTCAAAGGCTATTCGCGTTAGCTGTCCCTAATCTTGAAGTCGTAGTCTAGAGGAAAGACAGCTAGTCAACAGCGCTCGCCGCCAACCCTTGAGCTGCTCTAATCGATTAGTGGGATATGATTCTCTTTTTTTATAACGCTTCCATTGCATCAAAGTATGGAGCGTGATTTGACGGCAACGGGACGCGAGTCATGAACCTTCCGATACGCTAACCCCTGGACCACGCGCGGCCCCTTTTAAAGGAAAACGTATCTTTAGTTGTGAAACTGTAGTTTTCCGTCAGTCATTTTCAGTTTCACTGTCTTTTGTGTTTTAAATTTGATGAAACTGAGTTGAAATGACTGAAAGTTATGATTATGAAAAATTATATCTCATTAAATTTCTTGATTCATCACACATTTTGTTTTTATTGAGTGTAGATAACACAGTGTAGATATTGAACTATTAATTGTACAGTATAAGAAACTGACTGGTAATTATATGGTTTTATCAATTATATTTTCATCAGCAACGGTA